TTGCATATAACTAGCTCTATCACAGTTTTTGTACAGGTCGGTTATTATTATATTAATATGTATGCTAAAAAGCTAAAATAATGGAAAATGGCAGCCATTTTAAATTGTAATAGCTCAAAAATGTGTACAATATTTAGTTAACTGTTTCTGTCATTGTTATCAGTGGATTTCCAATTGAATACTGCATTTTAATGACATAAATTTACAATATCGGTGACAATTTTAGGAAAAAATGGCGGCCATTTTGAAACGGCTGGCAACCCCCCCTTACGTATGAAAAAAAAAATGTTGCACATACTTTTTTGATTTATCTATGTCTACTCTACATCATATCCAATTTTTAAAAAATATAGCAAAAAAAAATGCAACCAACCAAAGTTTGCTGGACTAAAAAGCATGTGGCTTACTTTCTGTGAAGAAATCTAAAAAAGAACGAAAAATACAAAGCAAAATAAATAAGTGCCTTGCAGACGACACTTAAATATTTTAATTGTTGGGAGCTTTTAGCCGTTATGATTAAAACAAGTATTTTAATTTTGTTTCAGGAGCTCTTATTCCGGCTGCCGCCATATGCACTGCACTAGGTGGTTATTTTATAAAACGTTTCAATTTGAATCTGGAGAGTACAGCCAGGTTTACGTTCTGTGCTACTACTTGTGCCTTTTTGCTATTTGCGTTATTATTTGTATTTCATTGTGATACGCTCAAAATAGCTGGTGTCAGTGTTCCATATAAAGATAGGTGAGTTTCTGTACATTAGGTGTATCAAACACAAAACATACCAGGGGCGGATTTGGGGGGGGCCGGCCCGGCCCCGGCCCCCCCTTTTGGGAGGTAAAAAAAAGGGGGAAAAAGAAAAAAAGAGAGAAAAAGAAAAAAAGAGAGAAAAAGAAAAAAATGATAGCCCAGAATGCCTCAAATGTTATGTTCGGGCGTCTAGAACACAAAAATTTCGCGGGGCATGCCCCGGACTCCCTACGACAGTGTTGTCTCAATCGGCCCAACTTTCGGCCCCCCTTCCGGCCCCCCCTTTTGGACATTTCTGGATCCGCCCCTGCATACTATGCAGTGGGGGAAGGGGGGCTTAGCCGGCCCTCCCCTTCCCCCCCCATTTTTAAATTTCATTTTTTAAATATATTAATTATATTCAAATTTCAAGTCTGAAAGTGCCCTTTCTGGCCATCTAGAGGTCGCATATCATACATTTTCTTATACCAGCTCAGCCCCAGTATGGTTGGGGGCTGAGATGGTATAGACCCTCCGTCTGTAAAAGGCTTACCCTGGGCCCCCCTCTGTATCAAATTCCTGGATTCATCTCTGCCATGGATATCATTGCAAGTAAACTTTTGGCGTTCAACCTGCAACAGCCTTGATTTTTTTTTGTTTATGTGTTTATGCTACCGGTATTTGTTTTACTGAGAACCCACCCCCTGGCTTTAGAAATGTTTAAAAGATATTAAACAATTTATATCATATGGTTGAATTTTGTTTTATTATTAAAATATCTTGGAACTTCTTCATTTCGTTTCAGCCTTTCATACAATGATAATTATACCTCAAAGTGCAATATCAACTGTGGTTGTTCCGAAAACTACTACAAACCTGTGTGCGGTAGCGATAAAGTTACTTATTTCAGTGCTTGCTATGCAGGATGTTTCAACAAGACGGACATTGAAAAAGACGGCGATGAAGAGGCTGCTGTAAGTTTATGTCTAATTGACAGAAAATAGTCTTCACTCAATATCTTTAGTGATTATATAAAGTTGTGAGCCTACAGTATATATGGTACAATGTGTACAATAGGCTACTTTGAATGATGAACTGTTCAGCTATAGGCCCACCCCTTCTACAAAACGAGCCAGTGTGAATGTACGTTAGACAAGCACGTAATCCTGGCCCTGCTCGGATTGGTCAGTTAAAATTGATTGACACTTCGGAAGTTTAATTGTATTTTGTACATAGTTTCTTCACACTCATTCGTTATAAACTAAACTTGCCACAAGTCCCTAATTTTTTTTTTTTATTCTGGACATAGCCACCAACAAGCGAGTTAATTTAGAATTGGGAGACATTCAAAAAACAGAAATAGAAATCGTATGGGACTCAAATTAAATTTGGTATGGCGCCCACTGATTGTAATGAAAGGATTATATTTCACAGAATTCACTGAGTAACTCTAACTTAGGGCCTGGAACCCATGCTTTTTATAAACATACACACTCTAATTTGGATGTTTATTATATTTTTTCTCTGTTTTATGTAGATCTTTAATAAATGCAGCTGTATTGTAGAGCCTTCGGTTGCAGACTCAGGAAAATGTGAAAACGATTGTCAGCTACTACCTGTCTTTATGTCGTTCCTGATATTGGTGGTAGGGGTCACGACCCTAGGTCAGATTCCAGGGATCATGGTCACATTGAGGTAAGGAGCAAACTTGATATTCCGACTTTGGATGGCCTTAGGAGGCTCGGCAAGCCTGCTTGGGCAGCTTGTGCCTGAAGTATTGAATGCCTTAAACCATGGTGCTGGACCTTAAATTTATCTCATGCCACTTTTTCTTATTTCTACCCTCCTGTTACACTACTACGTTTAGGGTCCTTTACCCACGTGGAACTTTGAAGAAAAACAATTTATATATTCAACATTTGAGAATTTAAGCTTCTACGTTAACAATATTAACTCTGATTGAAATTAAACAAATATTAGTTGATTTTATAATCAGTTTGTTATTTGGTAATTTATCGTCATTGTAGGCATACAGTTCACCAATAAATTTCATCCGTTAATTTTTTATATTTGATATTACATTTTAATATTTGATTCTTAATAATTTATGCAGGTCAGTGGATCAGAAAGCCAGGCCATTTGCCCTAGGTATTCAATTCGTTTTCCTTCGAGCATTAGGTGAGTAAAAAAAGGTCTGTGTGGCATGATGTCATACCAGTAAATATTAGCCAAAGTAGTCGATTTGATGTTCGTTATGTAACTCACGTCAGGTAAATGAGGTAATAGGGCGCTTTCGATTTGCACGTCGTCGACGTGACACTACAACGGATTCACTTATACATGACCGTCCTACAGTCTCTCCACAACGCTAATTACTTCTTAATGACGTCATTAAGTTCTACGTCCTACTTCAATCAAAAGCTCCCAATGATTATCAATATTACATTACCTCCTTAGTTTGGCATAGTAACGGTAACAGAATTTATGAAAATATGCAGAACTTATCTGCAGCAAGTTGTTTAGTAAATGCAAATAGTTTTCTTGAGACTCGCTGAGAGAGCAAAGTGGGCGTGGTCGGGCTTTGCTCAAAATGTTTAAATTTTTTATAAGTTTAATAAGCATTTGCATTCTAGTGACGACGACATTCTGGTGACGATGACATTCATGGCAACAATGATTACGATGCTAGTACACAGTTCAATGATATTCTGTTTGTAGTTACTCTGCTTTAATTTTTCTTCTAGCATACATTCCATCGCCGATCTACTACGGCAAGACGGTCGACAAAGCTTGTATGTTATGGCAACCCTTATGCGATGGTGTTGGAGCGTGCCTTGAGTACGATAACGTCAAGTTCCACTTCAGTTACCTCGGCTTGTCGGCCGGTCTCAAGTTCTTATCTGTAGTATTCTCATTCCTCGCTTGGCAGTCGGTAAAGCAAGGCTGGAGTGGCAAGGCCTATCACGAAGCTTCCTCAAATAACGGCGCATCTGAGCCTAATAACTCTGTATCAGGCAGCACCGATGCATCGTCTGGCCAATGGGACGTTGAACTTCCTCACCGGCAAAAAAACAATATCGCAACAGTCACAGCAGACGATAAAAATGACTTAACAAATGGAGGCCCTCTCATCTAAATCTAAAGATTCTTTCATTCAAAAAATATTTGTAAGAGAATAGCCATCAGTAAGCTAAAATGCAAGCATAGGCTTATATTATAGTATATAAGAAAAAAACAATATAGGCCTACAAGAACAGGTCTTAAAAACTTAAGGAATGCAGACAGTTAAACAAAACGCGGGAGTATACTCTTTTTGACAGAAGCATGTTATTTAACTCAGGTTTAAACGTACAGCAACTTCTGTCTTAGAAACACGTTGGCCTAATTCTGAATGTTTCAATTGTGTCAATGGATATATACTTTGCAGATGGTGATGGGACGATATACGAATACAGCACACATGATGGGTTACCGGCCTGTACCCAATGCGATCCGCTTTTTTGTATTTTTGAATAGTTAAATGGTTTGGATTTGTTTAATATTGTTGCAATTTTCATAGATACCTATATATAGCGACTGTTAGACAAGTCGTACTTCTGTTTGATTTCACATATAAACAATTTACCCGCTGTCTGTCGTCAGGGATTGCCCAAAAAGGGGCCCAACAAGTGTGGCAGGAGTCGCCCAAGACCTGTACTCAGGGATCGCCAGACCTTTAAAAGTGGTAGAGGATTTATGATTTAGAATGTAAAAAATTGCTGTCCAGACTATCAAATTTTATTTGACAAAGAAATGGTGTATGCCAAATATAGTCATGATGTACCTATATAAGATCATAAGGTGATGTCATCCATATTTGGGCATGTCACATGTTTTTGTCAAATCAAATTTGATATTCTAGACAGGGATTTAGCATTCACTTTAACCTTTAGTTAGACCAGCAAATTATTAGCTTATAGGCAGACTATCTCACGTGACGTCTAACCTCCCCTCCCCCATCTACCGCCCTGCAGTCTTATTATACGCGATGTTTCGGGAAGAATATGAGAATACTGTACGTGTAACCAGGGAGATGATGGTGTAACAACCCTGGATGAAGACCAATACAAAAATATCCATTGCTGTGCATGAAGAAGAGGAAAAAAACAAAACCAAATACTCGATAAACTTTAGTGGTTGGACGATTGGTATAGGGTGAACTAATTACATTGTTAAAATGAAAATGCAATAAAATGCACGGTACATAAAGGGTACCGTAATCATGGTACCGTAATCATCGTACCGCAATATATGAAATAATGGCCTACAATGCAATGAGGTAGTAGATATATAAAATAGGCATTTACTTACAAGATTTATATTTCACAGTATTTCTCTAATTATTGGGTGTTTATATAATTATTATATAGCAATTTTTACTATACCGTAAAAAATAGAATCGCACCTTGTCTTTCAAATATTGTGTTATAATATATATTTTTTCTTGAGAGTATGGTAACCCAAGCGAAAATTTTGGTCGAGATTATACGGAGCTACGTAGCCGATCACTGGACCAATTATGGTGTTCTAACTCTTTTTTACTGCAATCATTGTAGTGAGAAAATGTATTAATTAAATACGGTATACTGTATGGTGGTACTGTATATTTTATTAAAGATACCGATATTTTTTGTTAGGCAATTGTAACTTTCATTGGAGTATATAGACCTACAACTCCCAGATTGATGTACTGTACCTCATTGCTGATACTGTATATTTTAGTGGCGTTGTATACCTCCTTGGAGGTACTTTATACCTCCATAGAGGCACTATACTTCCGTATAGCTAGGTCTATTACAATATATTTCATTACTTTATACCTCCTTGGAGGTACTTTATACTTCCATATAACTAGGTCTATTGCAATATATCTCATTACTTTATACCTCCTTAGAGGTACTTTTCACTTCTAAGGTACTTTATACTTCCTTATAGCTAGATCTCCTAAAATATCTCACTAGGGGTACTGCATACCTCATTGTGGGTACACACACCTCATTATAGGCACCGTGTACCCCATTAGAGGTAGGCCTGTACATTCGTAAAGTAGGCTTACTGTATCTCAACAGAAATACTGTATACAGTACTTCCTTTGAAATATCTCCTTGGAGTTACTCTATACCTACTTTGAGTTATTGTGTATTACCTTTATGCGATTTTTTTAGGACATTGATCTTAAACAAATTATTAATATAAATATTTTTTTATAGATAGATGTCTTTGATGTAACGTGATATTATAAGTGTGTTTATATACTCATTAAATACATTTGCGATATTTATTAAAGTACAAGTTATCCCTTTGTTTTCAATTGTATTGTGGTTTCAGTGACGTATCTAGAAGTCTTGAAATAT